AGGATCCTGAGAGACACTTTGAAAATTCAGATTGCTATGCTGTGGCTCCAGTGCAGACTGTGTCTGGTATCAACTCCCCTGGCACCTGAAGACACAAGGACATTAATGGAGTGTCACTGCTTGTGCAGAGAGCTCTACTCCAGGCTGGATTGCTTTGTCTGGATTGTTTTGTTTTCTTTTTTTTTTTTTTTTTTTTTTTTAAATATTTGATTGGTTGTGGGCTTCTTAGGTTTTTGGTTGTTTTGTTTTGAACTGGAAATTAATTTGCCCACATTGTTTCCAAATTCTAGAAAATAAGTTCGTTCTAGCACAGTGTAGTTAAATTTGAAAGGTGTAATAAGGTGACTCTTTAGGTGTCTGTTTTATTGTAGAGTGTGGTCTTCAATAGTATTACACTCATTCGTTACTTCAGCAGCTCATTTCCTGACACTCGATTTGTTCCATCTACATTTTGGAGGTTCTGTTACTCCATATATTATGTTGACCTCTCAGTTGAGAAGACCTTAGATTACTAAGAGGACTCTTAAAAGCAAAGCAAACAATATTCATAACTTGTTTTAAAGTATTAACTGTGCTTTTTAAGGAAGCTATAATGTCTGCTGAACAGCTGCTACATCTTTTATGTATTACTAATCTCAATAAAGGATACTGGCCTTCTTAGTGTGTTTTAATAAAACTTGGTTTTGTGGAGTGAATATCTGATGAATCCAGGTAATTTTCTCTTGCTCTGATAACTGCGTTAGATTTAACTCTTACCTGGAAATTATCCAGCAATTGAAGACACCTGGTTCTTCGCTATTTCATATTTAAGAATTGGGTAACAAAATCTGTACCTTCTCACCTCTGATATTCAAGATTAAACATCAGCATTAGCTGTTTATGAGATACTATTATGTAGTATTAATTTTAACCCACTCAAATTTGGAAAAGTGGCTAAGGATTGGCATAGCTGAAAGACAACCATAGGAGATACGTAAATTAACAACAAAAAACCCCATTTCATGTACACTAGTTCATAGTCAGTAAGGAAATTGTCTTTCACTTTGTAGATTATTTCAGCTCTTCCTTTCAGACTTTCCCTTTAAATGGGAGCAGTTTATATATTGGGGTTGTTAGCTACATTATTTGATGAGCCTTTGAGAAGTCATTGGTGAGAAGTGAGATAAGATTTATACCAGAAGACTAGTAAAAGATAGATGTGAGGTACTTGAGGAAATTACAGGTTTATTGCTAGGCATGGGTTTTCATTTTTACATTGCTATATATCTGTTACAATCCATAATGCACCTTAAACTATTTGAAACGTTGTTTTTTTTTTTTAAGTCATGCAGTTAAAAAAGCTAACGATGGTGGGAAAAATTGCTTACCCAGAAGTTTTCGTGTTTGACCTGGTATGATTGATTTTTTTGTTTTGTTTTGCCTGCGGCTTCTGTCAGAAAGTGTATCCCAGATACGTATTTAGCACCTAGTGAAGATGAGGAATACCCTTGAAAATGAAATGCAAGGAAAAATATATTTCTGTTATTTTAAAGCTTTAATTACTACCATTTAGAGGATGCTTAAAGCTGTAATATACATAGTGTGGGTGTATCTATCTGTCTTTTTGGTTTGGGTTTTTTGGGGGTGGAGGGGTTTTGGGGGTGTTTGGTTTTTTG